CCCCACCCCCGGGGGCGGCGGCCTGGGCAGCTGCGCTGTGTCCCCCTCAAAGAAGGCGCCTGCCCCTCTGACTGAGGACGTGCCCTGTGAGGACGGCCCACCTGCCCAGGAGACATGGACTGAGCCCCAAGCTCAGAGACCCACAAGCCCTGGGCCCTTGCCGCCCGAGGCCCCTGTGAGGACTGACCAGGCCCAGGCAGCCCCCCGCAGCCCCCCGGGCCTGGAGCTGCCCCTCCGTCAGCCAGACACCGAGGTCCTCAGCCCTGGGGCCGACGAGTCCCTGGCGGTGAGCCACCAGGACTCCCTGGAGGCCAGCCCTGTGCTGGAGGACAACTCCTCCCACAAAACCCCGGACTCCCTGGAGCCCAGCCCCCTGCGGGAGTCCCCGTGCCGGGACTCCCTGGAGGCCAGCCCCCTGGAGCCAGAGGCGAAGGCCAGCGGCTTCCCCGGCCACTCTCCTCTCCCGGCTACCGTCACCAGAGCGGAGCTCCTCGCCGAGGGCGTCTCCGTGCGGGCCCGGCTGCTCCGCGACCCCGACGGCAGTGCCGAGGATGACAGTCTTGAGCAGACCTCCCTCGTGGAGAGCTCAGGGAAGAGCCCCCTGTCCCCCGACACCCCCAGCTCCGAAGAAGTCAGCTATGAGGTCACCCCCAAGGCCTCAGATGCAAGCCCCCCCAAACCAGCTGTGATTCATGAATGCGCAGAGGAGGACATGGAAAACGGGGAGAGAAAGAGGTTCACGCCCGAGGAGGAGATGTTTAAAATGGTCGCCAAGATCAAGACTTTTGACGAGCTCGAGCTGGAAGCCAAGCAGAAGAGGGGCCACCGGAGAGAGCCCGAGCCCGAGGGCTCTTCCTCCTCCTCCCAGCCCGACCCCGAGCGTCCGGCTGATGGGGGCGGGCCGCCGCCACCCGGGCCGCGCGCAGGGGACAGGCGTGATGTCCCTGTGGTGGTGACTGCCGGCAGCAGGACCACCTCCTCCTCCTCGGAGAGCGAGCCAGAGCTGAGGCTGCCGAGCACGGGTGCCGCCCCAGGCCTGCTCCCGGAGCCCGTCATCCACGTGCAGCCGCCGTCCCCGCTCCCATCCAGTGTGGACTCCAGCTCCAGCCCCGAGGAAATGGCCTTCCAGCCGAGCACCTCCAAGCAATACACGTTCAGGGTGAGCGAGGATGCGCAGGGGCCCGGGGAGTCAGGAGACGAAGCGTGCACATCTCCTCTGCCTGAAGGCAGCCAGGTGGGTCCCCATGGGGGCCCGGACCCAGCTTCTGATGGCCTGAACAGAGATGCTGACCAGCCCCAACTCTGCACGGGCCTTGGGTGTGAAGCGGGGAGCCCAGGCAGCTTGGCCTCGCCCAGCCCCTCAGGCCCCAGGGGCACCCCCCATGCTGAGGTCCACGAGGAGCTGGCTGGCCGGGAGGAGCCATCGGCCCCGCAGGCCCCGGAGGAGAAGGCCTCGGAGGGAGAGGCGCGCCATGTGTCTGCAGTAGCGTCTCCAGGATCTGTGCTCCCCAGCGAAGGCTCTTCCTCTCCGCCCTCTGGGCCTGGTGGTCCAGCATCTGAAGGAAAAGATTCCGATGAAGACATCTCTGCATCTCTCACCACAGAAACAAAGGCCACAGGACCCGGCCACACTCCCAGCAGGCTCCCCAGGGCCTGTCCCACGCTCGCTGCCGCCATCACCACTCACACAGACACACTGCCCACAGACAGTCCAGGCTCTGACCGAGCCGAGACTGAGAACATCTGTGACCTTCAGGTCACCAGCCCGTATGAAAACGTTCCTCCCCAGTCTTTTTTCTCCAGCGAAGAGAGCAAAACCCAGACAGAGGCGAGAGACACGAGTTTTCACTCGGCAGAAGTGTATTCTGTGACCATCACGTCCTCCGTGGAAGTGGTGACGGAGGCCAGCTCCTCCCGGGCAGCTCTGTCAAGCAGAGAGTTCAGTTTTGAGGGCCAGAGCATGGAGGTGGAATCCACGCAAGAAAGCACCTCGTGGGAGGCGCAGTCGGATGGCGCCCCTGTGTCCGTCGGGCCCCCGCGGTCTGGCACTTCTGCGGTCCCCAGCGAGCACGTGAGCTCAGTCGTCATCACCACCAGCCACGTGGACTCCGATTCCTGGAGCGAGATCCGCGAGGATGACGAAGCCTTTGAGGCCCGCGTGAAGGAGGAGGAGCAGAAGGTGTTCGGTCTAATGGCGGAGAGGCAGTCCCAGGGCACCACCCCGGACACCACGCCCGCCCGGACCCCCACCGAGGAGGGGACCCCAACCGGTGACCAGAACCCCTTCCTGTTTCAGGAGGGCAAGTTGTTTGAGATGACCCGGAGCGGCGCCATCGACATGAGCAAGAGGTCCTACGCGGATGACGGTTTTCACTTTTTCCAGATCGGGCAGGAGTCCATCTCTGAGGACGCGGCAGGAGGCGGGGCTGCCGCCGAGCCCGCAGGGACAGAGACACCGGCTCCGTCACCGGCACTTTCAGAATCAAAAGACACAGATGAGGCTGACTTGCTTCCCGAGGACCTGAGTGAGGCGGGAGAGGGAACCCCGGCTTCGGATGACCACTTTCGCTCCCCAACGGGGATCCCAGCCTCTGTGGACACATGGGTTGCCTCTGTGGGTGCCGAGGACCTGCCCCCTGTGACCAGGGGCGCCACGCTTCCTCCGCCCGCTGTCCAGGTCCCAACGGATATCGCCACAGCCACTGGGTCTGGATTCTCAGGACAGGACAGCGGCTCTCCTGACTCCTCCCCAGAGGAGCAGAAGTCAGTCATTGAGGTCCCCACGGCAGCCGCAGAAAGTGTGCCTCCTCCTGGGAGCCAGTCCCAGGTCCTGGTCCAGCCCGGGCCCCCTGCCACCCCCACCCCGGTCCCCACAGAGGAGAGCCTGCTGCCCAGCCCAGGTGACGACAGGAGAGAGCAGGAGACAAAGCCCAAGTCTAAAATCCCCGTGAAGGCGCCCCCCCAAGCAGCTGGGCTGCAGCCTTTGCATCTGACCGCCTCCCTGCAGAAGACAGGACCGCCTCAGGGACAGGACGCGCCAGGCAGGGCCGCAGACGACAGGGGCCCCTCTGGATCAGATGCCAGTCCTTTGGACTCCAAGACCAAAAGTCCAGTGAAAGCTCCAAGCTGTGTTGAGGCCAAAGCAGAAAGCGGGGAGTGGGCAGAGGAGTTCTCGCTCGAGTCCGAGGCCCCAGCTTCGAGACCCAAGGTGTTTGCCTCCCGCCTGCCGGTGAAGAGCAGAGGCGCCCCGTCTCCCTGCAGGGGGCCCCCCAGCCCCACCCGGGAGAGCAGGGAGCACTTCCTTGACCTTTACAGGGACTCCATAGAATTCTTCGAGGAGATTAGCGACGAGGCGTCCAAGCTAGTGGACAGACTCAGCCAGGCAGAGAGGGCGCAGGAGGCAGTCTCGGATGATGAGAGCAGTAGTGCCCTGGACGCCTCGGTGATCGAGAGCCTGCCACCTGCCGAGCCCGAGCGCTCGGGCCGTGAGGACATCTTTGACACCAGGCCCATCTGGGATGAGTCCATTGAGACTCTGATTGAGCGCATCCCCGATGAGAGTGGCCATGACCCCACCGAAGGTATTGCCCTCCGGGGCTCCCTGGGCCCCGCATGTCATGAGCCCCGTGTCGCTGTGCCATTTGTCTGTTTCCTTTGGTGGTTCGAGTCTCACTTTCTTTAAGCTTTTCGCAGTGGCTCCTGTGTTTGTGTGAGCCCTTCGTGGTGTGTGCTTTCTCTGTATGCTCTTGTCTGTGAAAACAATCTCAAGATTGAGCCATGAGAATGCTGATGGGAACGTGACCACACGGGCCACGGCCGTATCTCATCCGGCCGCTGCACGCAAGCCGCACCGGCAGGGAGTTTTGTTGCTCTGCAGGGCCGGGCCCAGCCCCCAGCCCCCAGCTCCCAGCTCCCAGCCAAGCACTCCTGCTCTTGCACTGAAGTGTACTGGTTTTGTTTTGTAGTATTTGGATCCGTGGCTTTTCTGACCTTTCTGTACTTGAAAATAATTGACACTTAATTTTTGTCATCATCAGGATGCCCTTTGCTCAAGAGGATTTCACATAGGAAATTCCAATTTTGTGGATCTGTTTTTGATTCAGAAAGGTTGGATTTCAGATACTGCTGGTCACAGGTTCACAAACCAGCGTAAGGTAAACGGTGCTTCTCGTTGACGCAGCCACGATTGGAAGCAGCAGACAACAAAACTCCAGCTGTGCATGACTTAGTGACTGTGAGGGCCGGTGGCTCTGAGCTACAACCATGGAAACCATAGACGGTGCTGAGAAGTGGCCCCGAGCTTCCAGAATCTCTGCAATAGAGCAGGAGTTTGAAATTTGAGTGATAGGGAACGTCACAACCCCATGATCTAAAATGCTGTCCCTCTGCAATGATTAAACATGAAGGGAGCATCATAGAATGTGGGGTGATGTAAGAGCTTCCTTTTGGGTAAGCAGACTAAAACTGCCCAAAAGACATACATGCAAACATGTCCCTCATTGCTCTCCCCCGGGGTCACCAAGGCCGAGGCAGGTGTGGTTTCTGGCCAGGAAAGGCCTCGATCTCTTGTGACCCTCAGGTGGGAGGGACCTGTGCTGCGGGAAGCAAGGGGAGGCCCTGACCAATCACGCCGTGCCTGCAGCCCAGTTATGAGCTTGTGGGCATGGGCAGGGGAGGTGACTGTTTGCTAGGGGCAGTGTTCTTGGGTCATTGGAGAGGGGAGCCTGACGCTGGCTAGAAGTCACAGCCCTCAGCCTTAGTGCAGGGCTGGTCTCCATTGAAGAGATTGGAAGCACGTGGTTTCCATGATGTCTCAGATTTCCTCCCCATTCCATTCCAGAAACCTGGCAAACACACACTTCACATGATGTAAAGGCTAATAGCGCCATTGTGCGACCATCGACTATTTGGACAAGTGACTTCCTCTCTGTGGATGGTCAGTGCGGGAGTCCTCTCCTGGCACAGACAGCCATGGCCGTTCTGTTCTTGACCTTGTGCAGATCAGCAGGATTCACAGGAGCGGATGGAGGAGCGGCTGGCTTACATCGCCGACCACCTGGGCTTCAGCTGGACAGGTAACACGGGCGGCCCACTTTCCAACAGAGCCCGTTGTTGTGAACGGCAGGGTTGCAGCAGCCCAGTGGCGTGAACAATGAGAAAGTCTCCTTTTTCTTCCCTTGAGGAAGATGCAGAGGAGCAGGGCGATATTCACTGCGGGACAGGAAACCGTCCTGGGAACTGGGGCAGGCCTCTGGCCGCCTCCGGGACTCGGGACAATGGGAGGTTATGGGAGATTCTAAGAAAGTACCAGCCCCACAACACTCCTTTGGGAGCTGTGGGTTCCTCAACTTGGAGGAGATGGCTGTCATCCTGCCGTGTCCTGTGGGACTTACAGGGCTCCTTGTTTTGGACGCTGTCTCTCAGGGTCTTCGTGGAGAATGGTGCTGACGTGGGCTTTGGTGAATGTGAGGTGCATGTGGCTAAGAAGCACGGACTCTGAGAAATAGGAAAACCTGGGAGTAGGAATTAAAATATATGTCCAATAGCTTACTGAGGAAGAGTGAACTCTAAGCTCCATGTGAGTTACAAGTCAGGGTTCCCTCTTTACCTGGCTGGACACGGCAAAGCTAGGCGGTCAGCCTCTCGCTTCCTTTTATTTCTTTTCCTTTTTCTGGTCTGACTTCCTCTTGTATCACCTATGAGTACCTGATTGAAACAGATGATGTAAAATTAATGTTTGTCTTTAAGTTTATTAAAGATTTGGTGATAAATAGGAGTCCAAAATCCCATACCAAAGATAATCAATAATATGCAATAAATGCCTCAAAGCAGAAAGAAGAGCCATTTTCTTTAAAAATTGATCAGATTTATTTGAGAAATTCAGAGGAAGGAAGGACAGCAAATATCCCTGGTTGACTTATTGAGTAGATAACATTCAGAATTACTTTATCTTGTTTTCTTCTTATTTTATTTATTTATATTTATTTTTGTTGATCCTCATCAGAGGATATTTTTCTATTGATTTTGGAGAGAGAGGGAGGGAGTGGGGAGAGAGAGAGAGAGAAACATGGATGTGAGAGAGATGTAGTTGCTTGCCTCCCACAAACAGCAGATTGGGACCAGGGATCAAACCTGCAACCCATGTAGGTGCCCTTGAGCAGGAATCAAACCTGGGACCCTATGGTCCGTGGGCTGACACTCTAACTACTTAGCAACACCAGCAGGGCTGTTTTGTTTCTTAGATTTCTATGAACATACATATTAAATATAATATCATTAGACATATTGAAAAGTAAGACCCTACTACCATACAAGGTGGTATGAAAATGAAAAGTAAAAAAGTCTCTCACCTACATATGGTCCTCTGACATCATGCCCCAAAGGTCACTACTGGGACATCTTCATGTATTTAGAAAACATGCAGTGCTCACATGTATGCCTCTTACTTAAAAAAGCAAATTTTACTTAAATAAATAGTCCATCACCAGAGATGAGCATCCAGCTCGTCCTTTTAAATGACCATTCAGTTCTGCTGTGGAGGAGCCGCAACTGCCAGTGCTCTTCACTGCTGGGCATGTGGTTGTGTCCTGATAATGTGATCAGTATGTGTGCACTGGGATATTTTTGTGAGCATAGCTGGAGGGCACATGCTGGGAGCGGAATTGTTGGGTAAAACGTGTGTGTGTGTGTGTGTGTGTGTGTGTGTGTGTGTGTGAATATATTTCCACTGATTTCAGAGAGGAAGGAAGAGAGAGAAATGTCAGTGATGAGACAGAATCATTGGTGGACTGCCTCCTGCTCGCGCCCCCACCACACACACCCCGGACCAAGGATCCAGCCTGCAACCCAGGCATGTGCCCTGACTGGGAATTAAACCGTAATCTGCTGGTTCATAGGTCAATGCCCAATCAGCTGGGCTACACATTTTTAATTCTGGAAGATACTGGCACATTGACCTTTCAGGCAGACCTCTCATTGCACATGCACACCCCTCAGAGCACAGGCATCCACGCAGAATGCCAGTGTAGACCAGGGCAAGTCTTCCTAGACCGTTACTTACACGGCATCAAATCAGAGAGAGAAACTTATTCAGCTACCGTCCTATGGTCACAACCAGTGTTTACCCAAGTGAAATGTGAGAACAGGAATTACAGTGCTTAAGACGTCTGTCACCAAATGATGACAAGGGAGAGAATTGGTCCGTGTCTCCTGTTTCAGTGATTTATTGCCCATTGGTTAAGAGTAGGAGTCGGTACTAATGGTCTCATCTGCATTTTGGAATTAACCGGGACAACATTACACTTATTTTGTCACCATAGCCTCAAACCTATTTCCACCAGGACGGAGAACAATTCTAGATGCGGCCTTAAGGAAAGTCTATAACTAGCGTTAGAAAGACAAAGGTGTGTGTGCCTCATGCTCCTGTGTGGAGTCAGTGGTCCCGTCACGTGCAGTACGGAGAGCATGCCCTGCCCAGGACCCGGCAGGCATAGGAGCGCCAGCTCTGAGGCTCCCGCTCACCGCCGGCGGCATCTCTTCCAGAATTGGCCAGAGAGCTGGACTTCTCTGAGGAGCAGATTCACCAGATCCGCGTGGAGAACCCCAACTCCCTGCAGGACCAGAGTCACGCGCTGCTGAAGTACTGGCTGGAGCGGGATGGGAAGCTCGCCACCGGTAGGTGGGCTCGGGCAGGACCGGCTGGGGTGCAGCAGGTCATGTCCCACACATGCCTTCCTGCCCTCAGGTCGGGTCACATGATAGGTGCCGATGCAGCTGCCACCCACAGAACATGCGCAGCGTTCTGAAGTCTCCTAAGACCCCTGTGGCCAGCACCACCAGGCGGGGGCACCTGAGGGAGGAGAGCAGCAGCCCAGGCTGCTAGCAGGGATTTTACTTGTTAAAATATACTCTCTTGATTGCAGAGAGAAAGGCAATAGAGAGAGAAACGTCAGTGATGAGAGAGAATCATGGATCAGCTGCTTCCTGCACGCTCCACACTGGAGATCAAGCTTACAACCCAGGCCTGTGCCCTGACCGGGAATTGAATCGTGACTGGGTTTCTAGGTCAACACTCAACCACTGAGCAATACCGGCCGGGCAGGGATGTTATTAAAGTCTTGCATTTTCTAATAATGCTCATCTTTTACTGTAGTGACTGTACCTCTTGCTGCCCCTCACAGTACTGCTGAGTAACTCTCATGGGTGGAGATGAAGAGATACTTGCCCAGTGCTGTGGGTGACCATCTACCTCGGCGGTCACATTCATTCCCACCCTCACTTGTCTCAGGGGCTGCTTCCCAGAGCGTCTCCAGAGCTGCAGCCAGAGTCCCGTTATTCACCTCCATCACCTCCATCTGGGTGCCTCTGCAGGATTTCCCCGATAAAAAGAGGGACCCGGTTCCCTCGGGTGGACTTGACTTTCAGAGAGCCAGCAGACACTTTTCCTGTGATGAGTATATCCAGGCCATAGGTGGGATGTGCCAAACTGAAAAGTCTTTGATGTTTGTTGTAAGCTCAGAATTGACGGGGTCCTGTTCATCCTGGCAGTTCTCCTGGGAGGCTGTGCCCAGGCTGGCTCACACTTCTGCTTACCTGCTGTTGTCTTTTTGCTTTTTTTCACAAATAACTTTTTTTGGACTGGCTGTTTCCTGAACAAACACCAACATTTCAGTAAGGCAGCCAAATGAAGGTGGTTTTTAAAAGAGCGTGCTCACGTGCAGTAATGCTTTTCTGTCCTGTCCCAGACACCAGTCTCATCGAATGCCTCACCAAGATCAACCGCATGGACATTGTGCATCTCCTGGAGACCAACACGGAGCCGGCCCTGGAGCACACCAGCCACAGCTACGCTGAGATGGAGCAGACCATCATGCTGGACCACAGTGAAGGTAAGGCAGCGCGTGTGTGCCTGTGAGTGCCTGCGTGTGCCTGCGAGTGCCTGCGTGTGCCTGCGTGTGCCTGCGTGTGCCTGCGAGTGCCTGCGCGTGCCTGCATGTGCCTGCCTGTGCCTGCGTGTGCCTGCCTGTGCCTGCGTGTGCCTGCCTGTGCCTGCGTGTGCCTGCGAGTGCCTGCGTGTGCCTGCGAGTGCCTGCCTGTGCCTGCGTGTGCCTGCCTGTGCCTGCCTGTGCCTGCGTGTGCCTGCCTGTGCCTGCGTGTGCCTGTGTGTGCCTGCATGTGCCTGCCTGTGACTGCGTGTGCCTGCGAGTGCCTGCATGTGCCTGTGTGCCTGTGTGACTAATTCAAGCCGCTGGGCTACTGTCTTGTCAAGGGGAGGCCTTGCTGTAGTGCTTGCACGTTCTTGCTGCCCTGAGGGCCCCGCCCATTGGAGGTGCCGTGCTGTTCATTCCTTGTTAACGCATCAGAGTCTCAGCGTGGCTGTAAGGCAACGCCGTCAGCTGTGGCTTAAAGCGGAGGTCTCCCCCTCCTCTCTTCTCTATACCCTCCTCTCTGTCCTTCCCTCCTCTCTTTCCTCCCCCTCCTCTCCTCTCTACCACCTCCTCTATGTCCTCGCCCTCCTTTCCTCTCTATACCCTCCTCTCTGTCCTCCCCTCCTCTCTATACCCTCCTCTCTGTCCTCCCCCTCATCTCTGTCCTCCCCCTCCTCTCCTCTCTACCCCCTCCTCTCTGTCCTCTCCCTCCTCTCTGTCCTCCCTCTCTCCTCTCTATACCCTCTCTCTGTCTTTCCTCCTCTCTGTCCTCTCCCTTCTCTCTGTCCTCTCCCTTCTCTCTGTCCTCCCCCTCCTCTCCTCTCTATACCCTCCTCTCTGTCCTCCCCTCCTCTCTGTCCTCCCCCTCCTCTTCTCTCTATACCCTCCTCTCTGTCCTCCCCTCCTCTCCTCTCTATACCCTCCTCTCTGTCCTTCCTCCTCTCTGTCCTCTCCCTTCTCTCTGTCCTCCCCCTCCTCTCCTCTCTATACCCTCCTCTCTGTCCTCCCCTCCTCTCCTCTCTATACCCTCCTCTCTGTCCTTCCTCCTCTCTGTCCTCTCCCTTCTCTCTGTCCTTCTCTCCTCTCTGTCCTCCCCTCCTCTCCTCTCTATACCCTCATCTCTGTCCTCCCCTCCTCTCTGTCCTCCCCCTCCTCTCCTCTCTATACCCTCCTCTCTGTCCTCCCCTCCTCTCTGTCCTCCCCTTCCTCTCCTCTCTATACCCTCCTCTCTGTCCTCCCCTCCTCTCTGTCCTCCCCCTCCTCTCTATACCCTCCTTTCTGTCCTCCCCTCCTCTCTGTCCTCCCCCTCCTCTCCTCTCTATACCCTCCTCTCTGTCCTCTCACTCCTCTCTGTCCTCCCCCTTCTCTCCTCTCTATACCCTCCTCTCTGTCCTCCCTCTCCTCTTTGTCCTCCCTCTCCTCTCTGTCCTCCCTCTCCTCTCTGTCCTCCCTCTCAGCCTTCATGCTGCCAACATGGCTCCTTACTTATTCTGAGCTGAGGATCAGGCTTTGCATTTCTTAAAAAGAGTAGGAACCATCGGCCCGGCCAACATGGCTCAGTGGTTGAGTGTTGAACTTTAAACCAGGAGGTCATGGTTCAGTTCTCGGCCAGGGCACATGTCCAGGTTGCAGGCTCGATCCCCAGTAGGGGTGTACAGGAGGCAGCCGATCCAGGATTCTCTCTCCTCATAGATGTCTCTCTCTCTTCCTCTCCCTTCCTCTCTGAAATCAGTAAAAGTCTGTTTTGGGGAAATAGGAGCAATCACAAGCAGACACTCATATTCCATCACCCCATCTCCTGCCTGCGTGACCTCAGGCCTGCAGGCCACCGCTCTGGTTTGGCGAAGACCTGGCCTATTGTCCGGTTCAGAGCCCCACTCCTGTAGGCGCCTGCTCCCAGGCGGCCGTGCTCACCGCGCGGTGCCTGTGTGACGGCTGTGTCCGCCCGTCTGATAGGCCATCCCTTCAGAAGAGCCGATGCCCCAGTCAGCTCTCAGCGCCTCCAAACAGAGGGCCGCCGCATGGCCTGTGTCTCACTGCTGTGCACGGCGACTCCTGGGTTCCTGCGCCCTGCTTCCCCTTCAGTCTCTTCTGAGGCACGGAGCCAGCCCTTCTTCCCAAACCGCGTCCTTCACCTGTCCCTGCGCTCTGCTCCAGCTTCCCCTGGCTTCCCCCGGCATTCCTGCTCAGTCCTCCAGCAGCTCTCACCCTGCAGGGTGTCAGTGACACGAACGCCCCCCACCCCCCCGCCATGCTGCCCTCTGCCTCCCTTCTCAGCCCAGATGAGTATCTGCGCAGATGCGTTCCCAGGCCCCTCTGGGCCCTCCCCACTGCCTTCAGGGCCCTCCCCACTGCCTTCCCTCCAGGGCCCTGAGCAAGGGCCTCCCGGCTGCTTCCTGGCTGTCAGGTGCTCAGTGAATAAATGGGGGAGGCCTGTCACGCCTCTGCCCAGCCGCCCAGAGCCCTCCACGTCCTGAGAGCCCGAGCTGGCGGGGCCCCTGCAGAGTGGAGCGCATGTGGGCGCCCCGAACACTCACAGCCCGGAGTGACCCGACAAGCGTCCTGGCTGCTGCTGCTGCTCACGCTCACACTCGCTCCCTCTGCCCCCGGCCTGCCAGCAGCTCCGAGTTCTCCTCCGGCTCCCCGGGCCCTTCGCCGTGGCCGCCTCTGCCTGGCCCTGACCCTCCTGCCCAGGCCCTGCACCTCAAAGGCAGGCCGGTCTGGGTCAGCCTGGCGCTCGGACCCATCCAAGGACGGGCACGGGGCCTCTCAGGGAGGCCTGTGACGTGGCCGGGCTCACGGTGCCCGGCCGCTGTCCTCCCCAGGGTTCTCGGCGCTGCCAGACGAGCTGCCCGCGCGGCACCAGCAGCCCCAGGAGCTCACGGCGTCCAGCGGAGGCGCGGCCTGTGCGCACCCCCCCCTCGTCTCTGACGAAGACCTCTCCGGCGGCCACTCCACGTTCCAGGATGGCACCTCCCGGACGGACGGGGACAGCCCCGCTGCGGGGCACCTCCTCCAGGAGCGGGGGCCCGGGGGCCTGGCAGGGACGGGGGCGCCCGAGGAGCCCGCTCCGGAGCCACAGCAGCAGCACCGGTGAGTGTCCTGGGAGCAGTGTGTGGCCAGGGGCCGCGTGCAGGCGTCATCCTTCTAACGGCCCGCACAGCCAGGCTGAGACAGACAGCAGTCAGCGTGTGACCGGCGTGCCGTGCCGTGCCGTGCCGTGGGCCTGTGTCCACCCTGCAGTTAGGATAACTCCTGCTCCTAATTCGTGTCCTGGTGGGAGGTTGAGGGCACTGCTGGGATAGCATGGTTTGCACTGAGATTCCTTCCGTGGGAGCGCGGAGGCCCGGGGTGGCGGGCTGGGGGGGAGGGGGCTCCCCGGCTCCCGCACAGCCGGGTGGTTGAGGGGCAGCACAGACCCTCCCAGGAGGGAGGACGGCATTAGGGCCATCAGGCCGGGGATGGGTCCCAAGGACGGGAGCATCTGGAAGGAGAGAGCAGAGCAGGCTGGCCCTCTACAGCGGCCCGGGCCCTACACAGGCAGTAGTGGGCTCTGCCCGGAGGAGCCGCCGACCAGCAGGCATCGGGATGAGCACACAGCAGGGGTGAGGAGGAGGCGGGAGAGGGGGGACCCAGGCAGGGAGCAGAGGCAGAGTGAGCACACCTTTAAAAGGAGCCAAAACAGCAGAGAGCCTTCTCCCGGGAATGGGGACGGCTGAGGTCACGCCAGAGTCATGCCCCTCCAGGCAGTGGGAAGAGCTTCCACGTTAACAGGTCTTTCTGTCACATTGAGGTTTCCCGGAAGTGAGCGCCTCTCTGCATTTACCTCCCGGTACCCACGTTCACACGGGGTGTTTTAATTGCTTCTCACAAATTTTGCCAAATTTTGATTCTTGCTACACAAGCCTCATTGCCTGCAGACCTCTGTGAGGGAGACCTTCTCTCCTCACTCCACCTCTCGTTAGCAAAGGCGGACGGAGGTGGGTCTGTGCGGGAGGCTGAGGAGGCGGTGACTCGTGTCACCTGTGTGCGCCTTGGGCACACGCCTTCTCGCCACGCTGCATCCATGAGCCATCATTCTGCACTGCCGTCTCCTTCCAGATGCTCGTGGGCTTTTACTCACATTTCACTTCTAACACACTGAACCTATTGGCCTTCGTGACTGAAGGTGCGTCCATGCTTCCCTCCAAGGCCCTGGCCTCATCGGGCGGGGCACCTGCTCGCTGTAACCTGGCCTTCCCTTTCAGTGTGACCACTCCACGGACACCAGGGTCAGACTCCGAGAAGGCCACAGCAGCCCCTGGCTCTCCCAGCAGGACCCCCGAGGAGCACGGGCCCCACCTGCCACCCTGGGAGCAGGCAGACTCGCCCCTCGTGCAGGAGCCCGCGGAGGCGAGGGCAGGCGGCTCCCCCAGGAGAAACAGCCTCGTGATCGTGGAGTCAGCCGACGAGCAGCCCCCGGCCTTCGAGAGCCTGGATGAGGACTCGGCGTTTCAAAAGGTGAGCAGCCGCCGCCAGTCCCACCATGTGGCAGGCTCTCCCGCGGCTCCCCGAGGCTGACGTCACCCAAAGCCCCCGGGAGGGAGCCCGCCTCGGTGCACCTCTGTCCTTGTTAACCTGCGCTCAGTTCTCTCCCTTTGCTGTGGCCACATGTGTCACTGGAAACCCTTTTGCTGAGAACAAAGAACCCCAGCCGGAACCACACCCTGCTGTGGCTTTTCCCGTTCAGCGGCCTGGGACCCGCCATGATGGGGGACAGACGGCCGGGGTGTGGGTATGGGGGTGCTTGGCAAAGGGGCTTCCCACCCAAATGCATTGCTGCTGCCAGATGTGAGCTGCATCCCGTCCCCTCGGTGCGGGGCGTGGCGACCCATAGGAATTCACTGACACATTTATCCCCCACGAGGTCTGCATGGCTCCCGCCCCTCACTGCTCCCGGGGTCCCTTCCCACAGAACCCTGCCTGGGGGCAGAGGAGAAGCCGCATGTTCAGCAACTCCAGGCGTTCTCCTACACAAAGTGTGAACCTGTTTGATGCAAATTAAATTAGGTGTTATTTCTCCTTTTAGAATTCAAAAACATTCTTTATGTCCAAGTGTTTTTAAAGCATCCGTGCCTGTCTTAGTGAGGAAGAATGAGTTAGAAAAAAGAATTAAAACTTTCTGGGGAAAAGTAATAATTCAACATGTCTTTGAGCTGTACTTATTGGTCTGTTTTATACTAAAGGCCCGGAGTCCGACTTCTGTGCCCTCTCACAGTCCGGGACCCACAGGGGCCTTAGCGCTGATTCAGAGGCAGGAAAGGCCCCTGCCACCTCCACTGCGCTGGCCAGCTGTGAGCCCGGCTTCCTATGGGAGCGCGCTGACCACCAGGGGGCAGCTCCTGCGCTGAGCATCTTCCCCTGGTGGTCAGTGTGCATCATCGCGACTGGTCATTCCACCGATCAATTTGCATCCCTGCCGGGACAGGCACAGGGAACCTGGTCCATGGGAGCGTCTGCACCCGCAGCAGGCATGGCGAGACCACAGGGCAGTCACTCCGGGGAGGGGCGCCTGTGCCCACACCTGATTTTAGCAGGGGCGAGTGTCCTGGTGGGTGAGAGCACTGCTGTCACCGCAGGCCCTGGCCCGCGGCTCGGTCAGACTGGACGCAGGCTTCCTTTCCGTTCGCGCACAGAAAGCAGTGTCCTCTGTGAGCCTGAGCCTGAGCTTCGTGCCCAGGTGTTTGCGCCCTGTGGGCTCAGCCCCAGAGCGCAGTGAGCAGAACCTCCAGGAACCCCGCCGCAGTAACACCTACCTCCCACTTGCAGGAGCTCACAGCCGAGCTGGGTGGGCTGGAAGCCAGCTCCGATGAGGAGGCGCTGGTCACCACCAGGGTTGTCCGCCGACGGGTGATCATCCAGGTACTAGCTCAGCCGCACGTCTGGGCAGCGACGCACACAGCGCCCGGGGCAGCCAGGGGACAGTTCCCATGCTGTTGGCAGGAATGCGAATGGCTGCTCCCAGGCAGCGGGGACGCTGTGCCGTCTGTGCCTGACTCTGCGCCCGCGTGCCATCTCTGTCCGTGTGTCTGCGTGTTGAGCTGACCTTGGTCGGAGCCCCTGAGCATGGGGTCGCCTCCTTTTCTCTCTGCAAACCTCTGTGTCGGGCCTGGCCCGCGGTAACGCTTCTCCGCCGCCGCTAACTGGCGTGGTGCCCTCTGGCCGGGAGCCGGGTCCCGCGGGGCCTCCATGACGCAGGCCTGTCTCTGCAGGGAGACGACGTGCCTGACCTGCCCCCAGAAACGGTCACGGAGGAGACGTACGTGGACGAGCACGGGCACACGGTGGTGAAGAAGGTATGTCCCCCGTCCTCGGCGACGTCCCCCACGGTCCTCAGCCCGTCCCGTCGCTCAAGGTGCCTTCTCTCTAGGTCACCAGGAAGGTCATCCGGCGGTTCGTGTCCGCGGACGGCACCGAGCGGGAGGAGGTCACCGTGCAGGGGCCGCCGCAGGAGCCCGTCCGCATCGAGGACGGCGACGGCTACTCCAAGGTCATAAAGCGCGTGGTGCTGAGGAGCGACACGCAGCAGTCAGAGGTGAGGCCGGGGGCCGAGGCTGACGGCCACGCACGCTGGGGAGTGTGGGCCTGTGACAGGCACATGGCACGGACATGTGGCGCGGAGAGTAATTGGTGTGTGACATGGACGTGTGGCGTGGAGGGTGATGTGGATTATGACGTGGGTGTGTGGCTGGGCATGTGACAGGTCTACGACGTGGGCGTGTCACATGGAGTGTGACACGGGTGTGTGGCGTGGCGTGTGACGTGAACAGTGGGATCTGGCCAGGGGATGGCTCCTCAGGCAGGCTTGGCAGCACTCGCTCTCCTCCACGGGAACCAGAGCTCCAGGCAGCCGCTGGGCAGGTGTGCGGGGGCCTGTGTGCGGTGCCCGCAGCAGACGGCCGGCCTGCTGCCCTCGAAGGGGCCCTTCTCTGGGCCACGCCGGGCCGTCTGCTCCACACGCCCCTCTGAGAGACACAGGGAGGCGCTCTGGAGCCGGGCCCGCAGCTCCTGGCGCCCCAGAGCACTCCTCGGGCCGCGTGACCGCCCGGAGGCAGGGCCCATGTCCACGGGGCAGAAAGCGGGTGGTCCCACTGCGCGCCTCACGGGCTCCTGGCAGGTCTCCGAGGGACCCACTAGGCGCTAGATGGCCGGGGACGGAGCCGCTGCATGCCCAGCCCTGGCCGCGGTTATTCCTGCTGCTCTGCCCAGAGCCCTTTTCTGGTCTGTGGGAAGCGCAGCCTCGGGGCCGGTTTGTCCCGTGGCGTCAGGAGCGCGTCTGTGTCCCTTGCGTCAGGTGGCCGTGGCCGAGCCCGGTGCCCTGGGCGAGGCCTCCCGGTTCCAGGCAGAGCCCGTGGAGGGCCGCCGTGTCAGCAGAGTCGTCAAAACAACGGTGGTGCGGGGGGAGAGGATGGAGAAGCATCTGGGGGACCCCCGCCTCGCCCCCAACCTCCCCTCGGCCCAAGCCGACTTCGAGCAGGTACGGAGCAGCCGTGGCCGTGCCGTGGGGGGGGGTGTGAGAGAGAGAGAGTGTGTGTGTGTGTGTGTGTGTGTGTGTGTGTGTGAGAGATCAGTGTGTGTGTGTGAGTGTGTATGTCTGTGTGTGTGTGTGTCTGTGTGTGTGTGTCTCTGTGTGTGTGTCTCTGTGTGTGTCTGTGTGTGTGTGTCTGTGTGTGAGTGTCTGTGTGTGTGTGTGTGTCTGTGTGTCTGTGTCTGTGTGTCTGTGTCTGTGTGTGAGTATGTGTCTGTGTGTGTGTCTGTGTCTGTGTGTGAGTGTGTGTGTCTGTGTGTGTGTGTGTGTGTGTGTGTGTGTGTGTGTGTGCACAGAAAGGGCTGTTCAGCGTCCCTGCTCCTCCGTCCTCTGGGGCCGGAGCGCACAGCCTGACCCTGGCCGCAGCCACGGCCCCCGCAGCCTCAGGGACCAGGCCGCCGCCCGAGCTTTCACAGCCCGACGGTGGGTCCCGCCCCGGGTCAGTGTCCCACTTCTGAGCTCATGGGTCAACAGACAGGACGTGTCCCCACACCCGTCAGTGACGTGTCCCCCCCCCACCCCGTCAGTGATGTGTCCCCCGCCCCGTCAGGTCAGTGGCGTGTCTCCCCTCCCCGTCAGTGACGTGTCCCCCGCCCCGTCAGTGACGTGTCCCCCGCCCCGTCAGTGACGTGTCCCCCGCCCCGTCAGTGACGTGTCCCCCGCCCCGTCAGTGACGTGTCCCCCGCCCCGTCAGTGACGTGTCCCCCGCCCCGTCAGTGACGTGTCCCCCGCCCCGTCAGGTCAGTGACATGTCCCCTGCCCCATCAATGACATGTCCCCCGCCCCGTCAGGTCAGTGACGTGTCCCCCGCCCCGTCAGTGACGTGTCCCCCCGCCCCGTCAGTGACGTGTCCCCCGCCCCGTCAGTGACGTGTCCCCCCGCCCCGTCAGTGACGTGTCCCCCGCCCCGTCAGTGACATGTCCCCCCGCCCCGTCAGGTCAGTGACGTGTCCCCCCGCCCCGTCAGGTCAGTGACATGTCCCCCCGCCCCGTCAGTGACGTCTCCCCCCGCCCCGTCAGTGACGTGTCCCCCCGCCCCGTCAGTGACGTGTCCCCCGCCCCGTCAGTGGCGTGTCCCCCGCCCCGTCAGTGACATGTCCCCCCGCCCCGTCAGGTCAGTGACGTGTCCCCCGCCCCGTCAGGTCAGTGACATGTCCCCTGCCCCGTCAGTGACGTGTCCCCCCGCCCCGTCAGTGGCGTGTCCCCCCGCCCCGTCAGTGACGTGTCCCCCCGCCCCGTCAGTGGCGTGTCCCCCCGCCCCGTCAGTGACGTGTCCCCCGCCCCGTCAGTGATGTGTCCCCCGCCCCGTCAGGTCAGTGACATGTCCCCTGCCCCATCAATGACATGTCCCCCGCCCCGTCAGTGACGTGTCCCCCGCCCCGTCAGTGATGTGTCCCCCGCCCCGTCAGGTCAGTGACATGTCCCCTGCCCCATCAATGACATGTCCCCCGCCCCGTCAGTGACGTGTCCCCCGCCCCGTCAGGTCAGTGACGTGTCCCCCGCCCCGTCAGTGACGTGTCCCCCCGCCCCGTCAGGTCAGTGACGTGTCCCCCGCCCCGTCAGTGACGTGTCCCCCGCCCCGTCAGGTCAGTGACGTGTCCCCCGCCCCGTCAGTGACGTGTCCCCCCGCCCCGTCAGTGACGTGTCCCCTGCCCCGTCAGTGACATGTCCCCCCGCCCCGTCAGGTCAGTGACGTGTCCCCCGCCCCGTCAGTGACGTGTCCCCCCGCCCCGTCAGGTCAGTGACGTGTCCCCTGCCCCGTCAGGTCAGTGACGTGTCCCCCCGCCCCGTCAGTGACGTGTCCCCCCGCCCCGTCAGTGACGTGTCCCCCGCCCCGCCAGTGATATGCACATGCTGCGTGTGACGTGTGGCCTCCTCATGCTGGCAGTGCACATGGAGCCTGCCTGGAAGGGCCCGGCAGGGAGGCTGTCCTCCTGTGACAGCCGTGACCTGGGTGCTCGGTGTCACTGTGTCCTTAGTATCCACTGTGGAGGGAAGAGGTGGGTAGGAGAGAGGAGGGGAGAGGTGGGGTAAGGTGGGGAGAGGAGAGGTGTGCAGGGGAGGGAAGGGGTGAGGAGAGCAGAGGGGAGGGGTGGAGAGAGAGGAGGGTTGGGGAGAGAGGAGAAGAGAGGAGGGGCGGGGAGGGATGAGGGGAGGGAGAGGGTGGGGTGGGGAGGGGAGGAATGATGGGAGGGATGAGGGGACGAGAGGAGGCGTGGGGAGGGGAGGAGTGAGGAGAGGGGAAGGGAGAGGAGAGGAAGTGTGGGGAGGGATGAGGAGGGGAGGGGTGGGGTGGGGAGAGGAGGAGAGAGGAGAGGGGAAGGGAGAGGAGAGGAGGCGTGGGGAGGGATGTGGAGGGGAGGGGTAGGGTGGGGTGGGGAGGGGAGGGGAGGGATGGGAGGGGCAGGGAGAGGAGAGGAGGCGTGGGGCGGGGAAGGGAGAGACAGGAGGAGAGGGGAGGGAGAGGAGCAGAGAGCAGGCAGGCAGGCCCAGCAGGGTGCCGGTGAAGGAAGGAGGGGAAACTCCCCCATGGAGGGGGGGGGGCACGTGTGCTGGTCTGCTCCTGAGAGTCTCACTTCCCTGACGTCCAGGCTGTGGCCGGCTCCGGGCCGCCGTGACATGTCCGTGTCCGTGTCCCCCCAGGCTCTGAGCTACACAGGCAGCCATGAGCCGGTGCACGGCCCCGGCTTAGTGGAGGAGGAAGTGCTGAGAGAGGACGGCTCGGTCGTTAAAAGGTTTGGTCAGCTCGGTGCTGCCTGCCAACTAACCCTTGTCCGACTGCAGAAAACAGAAACGGGCCCCCCAAAGCCTCGGGTCAGGGGGTCAGAGGTGACCCCGGTGTGAGGCCAGCAGGGTGTCCCCGTGCTGGCGGCGGAGCCGGGAGCCGGCAGCCGCTCCGAGGCTGCTGTGGTGGCGCTGCCTGCAGCCGGCCTGTCATCGCCATAACCGCACGTGCTGTGTGTGACGCTGGCCTGGCTCTGCATGCGGTGCCTGGCCCGAGTGCCTGCGACACTGAAGTTAGTGTGAGCAGCCGTGTGCCGTGTGCCGTGTGCCGTGTGCCGTGTTCCCTGTGGACTGCCTCACTGCCGCGCCCGTGTGGCATTCTCACGACATGCCGCGTGGACGCTGGCGTCTTGCCGTGGGCTCTGCCCACGCCTCCTGCAGCCTGTGAGCACTGGCCACGTGGCCTGGGTTGGAGCACAAAGTCCCCGCGGGCAGTCCTGTGTGCGTCTCCCTGCACAGCCAGGAGAGGGTGCTGTCACGCAGGGCAGATGTGACGGCTGTGCGGCGAAGGGCCGTGGGGTCTCCCCAGGCACATGACAAGCTGGAGCGCTGAGCGTGTGGCGCTCGGAGGACGCCTGTGGCCACACTCGGTGCTTCTGGGCCATGCAGAGGAGCCCGTGGACACAGCCCGGGCGGGGCTCCTCCCAGCTCCTCCCACGTTCTCGCTGCGGCTGTGGCTCCCCGGGATGCGGACGGCTGCCGGCCCCGGCTCGGCCGTGCGCGCTCACTCCATGCAGTGCCCCCTGGGCCCCGGGACACGGGTGACCGTCCCCACCAGGACACGCACGAGGTCATAGCACTCATCCCACGTGCGGCACGACCCCCAGGAGCAGCCTGTGATGGACACGCCTGCCCCGCACCAAAGCCGGCTCCCAGAGAGAGAGTCAGCTAGCTGCCTTTTTGGAGCAAAAGAAGTGCAGGCGCTGCCCAGGCAGGCTGGTGCGGTCTGCCTTCGGGGCTGATGCAGCCCCTCTTAATCGGGGCCGATGGAAGGTGCCGGCAGAGGCCACCGCTCCGTCCTGTTGGAGGGGGTGAGAGGCCGGGGAGCCCTGAGCTGCAGGTGGTCTCAGCACACGCGGCGAGGGGTCAGGGAGTGCTGAGGGCGCAGCGAGGGTGCTGGACACTGGGGTCGGTAGGACAGTGCTGGTGCCACCCCCACCAGCCGCCGCACGGTCCCCGGGAGGCCTGTGAGCAGGGCGTGCCCGCCTCTGGGCGCTGCCGGACCTTCCTGTTGGTTTCACTCGGGGCACCGCTTAAATCTGAGACTGTTTCCTAACTTGCCACTATAGCAATAGCACCAGCGCGTGAAACACGCCCCGGCACATGCTGCGGGGGGCAGACATGCGTTCACGGTGGGCGGTGAGGCTGAGGCTGACCTGGCCGCCAGGGCGTGTGTTCACGCTCGGAGCGGGGACAGGAATGGCAGCAGCACTTGGCAGCCGCTAGGTTAGGCGGGAGCGGGAGCTTCAGTGCATTTGGAGTGATGTTTGCTAGCCTGTCCCGGGGGCCACTCGGGACGAGCCGGTGCGGGTGATGGCGCGGTCCGCGGAGCAGGGCCTCACCCCGTGTTGTCTGCCTCCCAGGACGACGCTCCATAAGGCCCGCACGCAGAAGCGGGCCGTGGTGAGGGACGGGCGCGGGAAGCGCGTGCACCTGGAGGCCCTGGAGGATGTGCCCGAGGCCCTGCAGCAGGACGACCTCCAGCGCGACCTCCAGCAGCTCCTGCGGCGCCTCTGCAGGGAGGACCCGGAGCGGGAGGCCCCGTGAGCCCGCCGCCCCAGCCGCCCTGTGCCGAGCCTGCCCGCCGCGCCCGCCTCCACGCCGAGCACACGCTGCCCGTCAGTGCCCCTGACCGAGAGCTGCTGGGCCCGCCCCCGGGCGCCGGCTGCCTTGGGAACTGGCGCTCGCCCTCCTCCGCTTCGCCCAGCTCCACGGAGCCTCCACCCTGGCTCCCGCCCGCAGACTCTCCCGGGGGCAGGCGTCTGGGTCACGTTCACAGGAAGCGCTCAGATGAGCAACGTCAGTGAGAGCCACTGCCCGGCCTCACCGATGGGCACCGGGACCCAGGGGTCGAGAAGCGGCTGGACACGGCAGGTCACGGGGCTGCAGACACGCCGAAGGGTGACACGCCGCTGCAGGAGAGGCGCCTGACCGCCGTCCTGACCCCGGCAGCCATTGCCTGGGCGCCGCCGGGCGGCCAGGGCGGCGGGAGCCGGTCCAGGTGCTAGCAGCTGCCGGGCCTCCTGGCGTCTTCGGGCCTCTGGCTTCGGACCCGCTGGCAGGTGGGGACGAGCTGTAACGGCTGTGGCCTCGGATCTCATTGCTGCTTAGCCAACCGCGCTGTCTTACCCGCGGCCCTCCTCCAGCCGCGGCTCCGCAGATTCGGCACTGGGAACAGGACCTGCCAGACTCACCCGCTCAGACGCCTCGCCCGCCGCGGGGCGGCTGCCCCTCTCTCCGGGTTCCCTCTCCACTGACCTGCATGCGGCATCTGACACCCTCCCCGTGAACCCTCTTCCCAGGGAGGCTGTGGGCCGGCTGCGGGCGGCAGGAGGGAGGTCCTCACCACTTGCAGTTGGCCAAAGGCTGCACTTATTTATTGGAAATCCAATCCCTTGGGAACGGGGGTGCGTTTCAGAGGGCAGGCTGTGCCCTGGTGACCCCGCCCCTCCCCACCCCCTCGAGTATTGCAAGTATATCCTATGCACAGACACGTCTCCGGGCCAGTTATTTATTAAAGGAAATATATCCACGGAGATGACGTCTAAACCAGCCCGGCTCTGTCCTCGCGGAAGGGCCTCCCCGACCCCAGCTGGCCGCCTGTCCTGCAGGAATGAGCCCCTGCTCCCAAGGTCACGACAAGGACACGGCACTGCATCCCCACCAGGGGCTTCCTGGGCCCGAGTGTCAGCCGGGCCGACCCCAGTGCCCGCCCGCAGGAAGGAGGCGTCGCTCTGGCAGACGACGCGGAGGCCGGAGGGAGGCGGAGACACGCCGCCTTCAGACCCTCGCCGAGGGAGGAACATGCTGTGGTGTGGCTTGCAGTGAGGTGGCGTCTGTGGCAGCGTCCGGTCCTTCACCTTTGTTTTGAATTTTGCTGTGTGATCAGAAACCTTGAATACTGTGAGAAGAAGTGATTTTTCAGTTGACGAATCAGCATCTTGTTCCCATGGTGATAACCCTAATTGAATATATCTATGAGGGCATGTATCCGTTAACGGGGGAGTACCGCACTAACCACACGTAGCTGCACACCGTGTACAATGGCTGTTAACCCAAATAAAGCGTACAGTGTCAGCGGGCGCGTGTGTGGTGTTCACTCTGAGCTCTGCTTCCGGAGAGAAGCTGTGACCTGGGAGGCAGGGGGAGCATCAGAGAGGCAGGGAAAGAGGAACATTGAGGAGAGAGAATCGTGGATCGGCTGCCTCCTGCATGCCCCACACTGAGGATGGAGCCCACAGCCCCGGCGTGTGCCCCGGCCAGGAGTGGAACCATGACCTCCTGTTCCCGTGCCCACACTCGGCCCCTCAGCCCCCCAGCGGCTCTGCTGCCGTTTTACCTGTTGCTGCCTAAGCCATTGCCCCAGGGGCCAAGCCCAGGAGCCAGCCCTGCCCTGAGGCCCGTGGGCGCTGTTACCCAGAAGGGAAAGCAAGGGTTTCGCTTGGGATCCCTGGTGCCTGAGAGATCGGCCCTGGCTCTCCCAACACACCTCCATGTGCCTCCCAGTTTGTTCTCCATCTTTCAAGTCTGGCTGCAAACAATCTAGAAACAGTATTAGAAACTGCGGGATTTGGCAAAGCCCGGGGAACCCGGCCTCGAGCCAGGGCCCTGATTCTGGGCCGGACGGCCGGACGGCCAGACAGCAAGTGTGTGGAGTGGCCGGCAAGCCAGCGGGCGGTTCTGTTGGGGTGAACAGAAACCTGCGAGACTGGACCTCCTGAGGGGGAGGAGACGGGAGCTCCCGCTGCCCGCTGCCCTCCAGCTGTGCCTGGGTGTGTGCCGGCTCCGGTGGGGAGCCCAGCCGCCGGCTCGGCCCCGGGAGGGAGGGCGTCTCCATCCCTGACAGCCCCTCCCTCCGCACCTGGTCCCCGAGGCCCCTGACGGCGGAGGGGCAGGGCTGGGGGACCGGCTCCGGCGCCCCACAGGATGTTGCCCAGAAGGGAGGGTGCGAGAGCTCAGAGAGGCCCCGGGGATACGGAGCCCACCCTTCCCACCTGCCTGTTCCTGCGGGAGCCCTTCCCAGTGCACGTGACCTGATGGGGAAGTGACATGTTCCTCTCGGTTCTGGGAGGGATTCTGACAAATTCCTGGGACCCACAGGGCGGGCTGCGGGGACTGAGCCGGGGGGACGGGGGGGGGGGGGGCGGATGGGGGGATAGGGCACACGTTCCTTCAGGGTGAGCATCAGGGAGGAAGCAGTTCTAAGAAGATGCAACCTAACTGTGTGTGAGTAAGCGTGAGAGTCGGAATAAAAGGTGATTTTGTTTAAATGGGAATTAATGAGAATTAGCACAGAAGTGAGAGGAAAGGTACCCCCCCCCCCCCCCGTGACAGTTAATTCTGGGTGTCAGTCTGGACACCCCGCTGATCGGGGACCCTGCCATAGGGCACCACCCACTGGGGCGGGGTGGCCTGGGGGGGGGCTGGGCGGGCATGGGGAGGAGGCGGGCAGGCGGAGGGAGGAAGGGGGGCAGCCGTGGGGTCAGCCCTCTTTGGGCACAAGGTGGCCAAGGTGTCTGACCTGAGGTGAGCACAACTGGGCATGTCCTTGGAGCCGCCTGTCCCGTCACGGCCAGCGGCTGCCGGAGGTGGAGTGTCCCTGTGAGAGTCTGATGCCCTAGAGCAGGGTCGGCAAGCCACGGCTCGAGAGCCACAGCGGCTCTTAGAGCCCAGCGCATGCATCGTCCACATTCTGGATTGGAGGGGAATCTAGGAATTTCCACAGCGTTCCCATCGCTTCTAATCTCTGGGAGAACGGCGGGACTTCCTGCATGTCCCTGGGACATGACAGTCCAAGTGACTTGTCCCTCTCCCCAGGGGGAGGCAGAGATGCCGTCCTCTCCTGGATGCTGCAGAAGGCCCTGCGTGAGCCGGGCCGTCCGCTCGGGACAGCGTCGGCCTGCGACTGAAAGGCCCAGGTTCGATTCGGGTGGAGGGCATGTGTGCCGCCGGCACGGCACGGTCAAGGGTAACCGAAAGGCTTAGAAAAGACAGGCAAGAAAGCTGGGTCTGCGTGGGACACTGCTTCCTGAGACAGCGCCACACACTACAAGCCATGTCGTTATTTTATAGCCGATGCCACGAGGCACAGTGAGGGCGTGGTCAAGATGTTTACAGCCTTCTGCTCTACCACATGCACTGATCCAGCTCTGTTTACTCGCAACCTGTATCACTCAGGCCTGTGGGTCCACGTGCTTGGACCATAGGTTCAAGCTCACAACCACAGCTGCTGGCTATCACGGTGCTGGGAGGCTCTGCCCTCCAGGCTGGGACTTGCATGTGGCCACGAGAGGACTGTGCCCTCTCATCAGTCCAAGGCGTGAACCTGTCCAAACACTATAGCCATGCCCCACAGGCATGTGCCCAGGTTGTGAGCTTGATCCCCAGTGGGAGATGTGCAGGAGGCAACTAATCCATGATTCTCCCTCATCATGGATGTTTCTCTCTCTCTCTTCCTCCTCATTCCTTTCTGAAAATATATTTTTTAAAATCTATTACTGAAAAATATTGGCAAGTCACAGGAACGGCTGCTGATAGGGTATGTGGATTTGGAAATACAGGATGTCTGGCAATAATGATCCTATTTACAGCTCTGAGATCCTGTACACATCTCCATCCTGCCCTGTTTGATTTCTTTACTGGAAGGCTAGGAGAATTACAGGGGCTTGTACATGGAATTATAAGTCCTCTTTTTACATAATCCTATATAATAAACGGCTAATATGCAATTTGTATCCTCCAGAGTTCAACTCACTAGGAGTTTGTTCAGTATGACATGTACTGACCACCAGGGGGCAGGGTGGAATGAAAGAACTGGCAGCCAGGGGAAGGAAGGCCAGGCCTTCATGCACCAGGACTCTAGTCTACATATATAAAAGCCTAAGGGACTGGCCAGCTGTCCAGTAGCTATCATGCGCATTGACCACCAGGGGGCAGACACCCAACGCAGGAGCAGAACCACAGGCATGGAAACGTGGAACGGACTGATGAATCTCAGGGGAGGGGGGAGGCAGGACGAGATTAACCAAAGATCTTATATGCACACTGGAGGCCTGCCCAGGAGTCCTCAAAGCTGGATTCTTGCACTGCGGGTCCCTGGGCCTGGCCTGCGGCTCTCTGACATCCCCCAAGGGGTCCCGGAGTGCAAGAAGGCACAGGCCAGCCAAAGGACTCCGCTGTTGTAGGAATCCATGCTCCAGCCTCTAGTCCTATATAACGGGCTTAATTCCAGCAAATGCCTCAGGTCTCAGAGAATGTTGGTGAATATCAGAGCAAAGTATTTCCAATAGTTATTGAAATAGGAGTGATCTTGCCAATATCTGTACTGGCAAGAGCCCAAAGTTGCATTGGGACTTCCTGCAGCAAACTGTCAGTTTCA